ATGACATATTGGTATATAGTCATAACTGGACTTCACATTTGGAGCACCTGCTGTAAACCTTTGAGATATTAAGACAGCATAAGTTCTACGTCAAAATGAAGAAGTGTGTATTTGGGTAGCAAAAATTGGAATATTTAGTGTACATTATCACTCCACAAGGGGTTAAGCTAGATCAAAGAAAGATTCAAGCCATGGTGGATTGGCCCAGGCCAACGTCTATCGCTAAACTACAAGGGTTCCTAGGACTAACTGGATATTACAAAAAGTTTGTGCTCAACTATGGAATATTAGTCAAACCCCTCATGCAGCTACTAAAGAAGGGGCAATTCAAGTGGACAGAAGAAGCAGAGACCGCATTCATGTAACTAAAGTAGGCCATGATAACCACCTCGACTTTGGCTCTTCTAAACTTTAATGAACCTTTTACCATAGAAACAGATGCTTCTGAAGAAGGAATTGGGGTTGTCTTCACTCAGCAAGGGAAACCCATCACCTGCATGAGTCGAGCCTTAGGGATCACCAATGGTCAACATATACTAAGAAAATGCTGGCCATAGTGATAGCCATTCAAACGTGGAGCCCATATCTATTAGGCCGTAAATTCATCATTCAAATAGATCATTAGAGCCTGAAACATCTATTGAATCAATGTATCACCACATCCGAACAACAAAATTGGATATCCAAGCTTTTTGGGTATGATTACGAAATCGTCGATTAACCAGGGAAAGAGAACAAAACAACAGATGCTCTATCCATACAACACGAAGGACCCTCCCTAAATGCCCTATTTGTCTGTGAAAACCAAATTTGGAAAAATATAAAAAATAAAGCAGAAAACCACCCATACATGCGAAGAATAAGCAACTTGGCAGAAGAAAACCCCGACAAACCATATAAGTGGAGAAGTGGACTCCTACACTATAAAAACCTTGTCATCGTTCCTCCAGAGTCCAAGATCATCCAACAATTGCTATAAGCATACCATGACTCTCGACTAGGAGGACATTCAGGAGTTCTAAGAACATACAAACGTCTGACACAACAATTCTAGTGGCCAACTATGAGACAGATCGTACAACGCTATGTGGCAGCATGTGAGACCTGTAAAAAAGCCAAAATCGAGACTCTTGCACTAGCCGAGCTGCTCAAGTAGCTACTTATCCCATGCCAAGTTTGGGATGACATCACCATGGACTTCATAAAATGATTACCAAGTTCCCAAGATAAGGATACTATACTAGTTGTCGTTGATTGATTGAGCAAATCAGCATATTTTCTGGCATTGACACACCCCTATATCGTTAAGACCGTAAACGAAAGATTTATGGAAGGCATAGTTAAACTCCATGGAATACCACAAACAATTGTTACTGACAGGGACCTAATTTTTATTAGTAATTTTTGGAATCAATTCTTCAAGATGTCCAGAACAAAACTAAAAATGAGTTCAGCTTATCACCCCCAAACAGATGGACAAACGATAGTTATCGATCGATGTGTAGAACAGTACCATAGATGCTTAACTCATCAGTGACCTCGGAAATGGTAGTCCCTCCTTCTATAGACAGAATATTTATATAACACTACCTATCACTCATCGATTGGGATGATACCGTTTCAAGCCCTATACGGACGACCTCCTCCCAGCATTCTGTTTTACCAAAAGGGCATGACTGTAGTTGATGATGTTGACCAACACTTGACAGAATGGAATGACCTCCTCCAATAACTCAAAGCCAACCTCGATGCAACTAATAATTGTATGTGACAAACCGTAAACACCAAGAAACGCCATGTTAAATTTCAAGAGGGAGATTGAGTCTTTTTATGACTCCGACCTTACCACCAACAAACGGTTTTCAAGATAGCACTCCAAAAATTAGTATGTCATTATTACGGACCCTACCAAATTACACAATGCATCAATCTGGTGGCATAAAAACTCAAGCTCCCAGAAGGGTCTCACATTCCCCCCGTTTTCCACATATCATTGCTCAAACAAAAAATTGGAGATTCCACCTTACTAATTAAAGACGTGTTAGCCACTATTAAGGAGAGCAACGTTATCCTTCATCCAAAAACAATACTGGACACGTGTTGGGTAAAAAAAAGGTCTAAGAGTTTAGTTAAATGGAAAATTTTGCCCATAGAAGAAGCCACCTAGGAGATCACACAAAACCTGATAGAGCAATTTGGTTCACTGAATCTTGGGGATAAAGTTCTTCCCTAATAGAGGAGCAATGATAAGCCCCAAAGATCACTTAGGCTGCCACGTAAGAACCCAAAATATATGGATTAAACTATCCATGTTACAGACCCCAAATAAGCAATCAAGAGAAGAATCAATCAACCCAGAAAATCTGCTCAATTAAGATTTCTAGTCGTTGCTTAATTATTGTGATTTTCTTTTGATTTTTGTTTAATCATGTAGCGTAGAAATAGGAATTTCAGTTAGCTTTCTATGTATTTAAATGCATTCGCAGATGAAAAAAAACATAGCATAATTTATCCCAAAGAAACCAAACATAGGCTTAGGGCTTTCTGGAAAGCGACGTTTAAATATTATCTCCGCGTTGATCTGAGTCATTCATGCAAGGACTCGTGGCCCACTCCCAGCCGTCGGATCACTCTTATTTGGAAAACGAATCTGGGCGACACGATCGGATTAAATCCAGCCTTCAATCGCGCTTGAAGAAGAAACGGATATGGGTCGTCCATGTGTGTAGGAGGAGATCTGGACTGTCGGCAGACACGCAGCGCACAACGATGGGTCACACTATTGACGTGGCAGTCCACATGGCCAAATTTCTATTATTTTTATTTTTACCCCAATTTTTCATATTTCTTTTCAAATAGATTCTCTCTTATTTCTACTTTATCCATGATTTTTGAAAATATTTTCAAATACACCCAAAATACAATTTTCTTTAAAATTTCATATAAAAATTAGAAATTGAATTTTTTCTAATTTATTTATTATTAAAATTGATTATCTCGGGCCTAAATTCCGAACCTGGGTGTTACAAAGAGTATATCGGATATAAAATAATATAAATTAAAGGTATAGTCGACTTACAATTAAATGGTGATTCGTGGAATTACAATTTCAGTGTTGCAATTATAATTTCGTTTGAATTTTTATTCAAGTAAATCAAACATTATACGAGCCTAACGTAATAGTCACTATATTGTACACATACTATAAATATATTCAACAAATCAAACTTAGCATCATTTTATTTTTCAATTCTATTGTTATCCAACTAGAAATCATGTAATAAGGTATGTATTACTAGAAGGTTTTTTGTGAGAGTTTTTTGCCAATGGTAGACCATTGATCAAATATTTTAATTCTTAAAATATATGTTGATTTAAAAAATAATAAAAATTAATTTTAATTGATTTACTATATACATATATATATATATATATTTGCAAACAATTCAACTCGGCATCTTCAATCTTTAATCTCCTGAACAAAGAATTTAACCGCGTGTGAACCAGTCCAGTTCAAATTTTTTATTTGGACTGGATTTTACTATTTCCTAAGTGCAAAACTTATGAACCACTATTATATATGATAAGAAAAAGCTTGATTTATAAAATATTATATTACAGTTTCAAAACTGCCACCTTCCTAGCGTATTTTTTAGTCAGTTTTCTTGCATTCAAAATGATTTTTTTAATCACCATTTTGGTGTATATAATTGGGTTTTTTTTAAGTAAATATTTAATTTAATCCCCCCCCCCCCCCCCCAACCCCACCCCCACCCCTCTAGAGATCACACTTCATTGGAGAAGACAAAGATGATCAGAGAGTAAAAAGGTGGTTGCTTTGTTAATTCTTGTAACAATCATTTTTTGCTATTGAAGTTCCTTCCATATCCTTTTGGCTACATAGTTTTTTCTAGGTTTTCTTTTTATTTTATTTTTTTCTTGAGTAATTTTATTAGGCTTCCATTTGATTTTAAGAATCCATGCGAGTTAAGTGAATGAAGTTATTCCTCAATAAACACCAATCCACTTGCTATTTTATCGATCATACTAGTGATTTATGGTATCAATCACATTACTTTACATAAACATAGGGTATACCACATTAAATTAGATTTAAAAAATGTTTAAATTTTGTAATCCCACAATTGAGAATTTTTTAAAGGACTTGAGATTTTATAGTAAATTAATTTTGTCCATATTACTTAAGAGTTGAAAATAGTTTATTATTATTATTATGTCAAAAAAGAGAGAGAAAAATTAGAGAGAAGAAGGGAAAGAGGTAAAGAGAACAATCCAAATGAAAGAAACCCAAATTTGTTTCTTCTTTTCCCAAGCCTACTTCACACCATCCAATTCAAACCAATTTTTAAACCCCAACTCTTTAAGCCTTTTAACTAAAATCCCAACTCAAATTTATCCAAGCAAAACAACAACACCCAATTTGGTTTTCTAAATCCAGACGTCCATTAAAATTCGACCCATATGCAGAGACTAGCCCGACCCTGTCCTGACGCCATGATGACCTCATTTCAATTAAAATTAACAAACAAAAAAAACAACTAAGAAATGCAAGATGTGGATTTTAGTCGGCAGAAAAAGCCAAGGGGAGGTGGGGTCGGCACCAAAAGAGAAGAAAAAACGAGCATGGCAGCTGAGAAAGTTTGACACGCCAAAAGAGGAAAAAAAGTCCCTTCTGATATAATTTACTCCTCATCCCTAATGTCTTTTTAAAAAAATTTAATTAATAGATTTGATTATGAATTAGTGACATTTTCATATACATACAAAATATTCTATTATTTAGCATAACATCATCTTTACAATTCTCCCATATTTTAACTATATTTCACTTATAACTTAAATATATACGAATATAAACGACTTTTTATAATACATTAGTAAATCGAATCGTACGAGTAATACAATTTTTGAACACATCATAATAATAATAAATGATTTTATTATTGATATTTTTAAGTTTAATAATCTAACTAAGATGATTACATAATCATATCTTGTTAAATTATTATGACGATAGTTTAAGTACATATATAACTAATAATTATTTAACAAAAATATTCACTAATTAAATATATGTAATTTTATGAAAATAATTAAATTTCTCCATCCCAGAACTCATCAACAGTCTTGTAAGGTCCTTCGCTATAAATAAATTCTAGGGCAGGAAATGCTTTTTCTTGTGGGATTTGATTTATTTGATATAATTCTTCTGAACTCAATTGCCAGTCGAATATGTCAAGGTTTTCTTTCATTCTTTCTTTGTTGAAGCTCTTCACGATCACAACAACTCCTTGTTCATAAACCCACCTCAAACATATCTACAGTATATGCATAAGTAAAAAAATATTGTATTACTCACAATGTAAGATTGAAAAAATAAAAAATAAAAACTTTTTTTTTTTAACCTTATGTTATTCTAAAAATATTTAAAATTTTTGTAATTTTTTTTTTATCTTATGTTATCCTTGTGTAACAAAATTGGTGCTTCTTTTTATGATTTCTATCAGAAACCAAAAGTTTCTTTCAAGGAACTTTCATAATATTTCAATAAATTGAATCATATATGGAATATAATTTGCAAGCATATCATGACAACAATAAATATTTTTATCATTAAAATTTTAAGTTTAATTTCCTAATTGAAATTATTACATAATGATGTCTTATCAACTCACTACTCCAATAGTTTAAGGACATATATAACTAACAATTATTTCAAAAAAGACTTTATGGGTTATTGCTATATAAAGTAGTAAAATTTTTATCTTTCATAACACTTATGGTTAATCTTATTTTATGACAAAGTTAAGAGAGTAAAAAATAGAATTGTATAAGAAATTAAACTGAAAGGTAACTAAGATCTTGAATAATGAGGAGTTTTCTCTCTTAATATATAGTGCTTTATAACTTAGAACGAATATTAGAAATGAGAATTCTATAAGAATCGATAAAAAAAAAATGTACTCAAATGTTATTTTTCTAATTGTGCTCCCACAATATATATCAACTGCCTAAAATAGAAGAATTAATTATTCATTAAAGAAAATAAATAAACAAAACACATATATAACATCAAAAATATAAAAGAACTCTATATTATTTACTATAATAAAATAACATTAAGAAAATATAGAAAGAATCCATCCATACTATTGAAGTTTATCAGTAGATTACCAACAAATTACTACGGACAACATAATCATTGATAGATTATTAATCAATTTCCATGCTAAAAAATTTTAAATGACAAGAATACCAACAAGTGATTATATTTCTAAATCTATGGATGAACATAATCACCGATGATCATCGATATATAATTATTTTATCATTGTCTATTTCAATAAGATTAGTAACGCTATTTAATTTATAAAAAAAATTAGTAATTTCGACCTATATACTTTTTTTTTGAATTTTATTTAAACTATAATCACAAATTTTTAGTCGTTGAAAACTGTAGAGTTAAAAAGAAAAAGAAGAAGTTACCTGGGCAACACTTTTTCCTTTGGCAAGAGCAATATTCTTGATCACATCGTTTTTCATAACACGATTTGTACCCCAGAGCGCTCCATTGGCACCCAGAGGGGAATACGCTTCAACAATTATACCTTTTTCATCACAGAAGTCTCTTAGCTTTTTTTGCTGCCAAACTGAGCTCATCTCCACCTTTCAAAGCCAGTCATCCATAACTTAATAAATAAAACCATTTTTCTTCTTAAAATGACACTAAAATTACTTGAAAAGATAACATATATATATATAAAATCTTGATTGACAGCAGGAGGGATTTTTGCTGTGGATAATATTATTTCAAGCTTCTTGCACGAGAAGTTGCTGACTCCTATTGATTTTGTTAAACCAAGCTCCACACACTCCTCCATAGCTTCCCACACTGACTTGAAATCCATAGTAACTATATCCTCCTTCGGAAATGGAAAAGTGATTTCACCTGGTTTTACGCTGACTGGAAAATGAATAAGGTACAGATCCAGATACTCTAGCTTCAAGTTTCTGAACACATAAATTAACGAGAGAAAGAACATTAATCCAATTTATTATATGTATATAAAAGTTGTACGTATATGAGTAGATTCTTATTTACTTGAGCGTTTTCTGCAGCGCAGGAAGAACACGATCATGGTGGGCATCGCAGCACCAGAGCTTGGAAGTGATGAAGAGCTCCTCCCGAGATTTGATCAGGCCAAGAGTAAGAGCATCTGAGACTGCCTCACCGAGATACTTCTCTGACTGGTAGAGGGCAGCCGTGTCAAAATGTCTGTAACCTAATACGATTGCATGAAGAATGGATTCTTTCATAATTTCTGCCGATAATCCAAATGGATATTCAGCTGTTCCAAAACCTAGACGTGGAATGCCAATTCTATTTTCTGAATCCACTTGCATCTTATCTTTTTTCTGTATGGTATCACTTCAAGTGTTTTCTCTTATCGATATTGGTTTGGTTTTGATGGTTTGTAATGCCTATTTATATATAGAAAACCTAGAAGGCAAGTTGTAAACTACCAATCATATATATATATATATATTAAAATATTTATTGTTTGGTACATTTAAATGGTGTGATATATTTTTTCTTTCGAGGGAAATGGTGTGAATTATATCATTTCAATTGAATTTTTGGCCAATCTGTTTGTTTGACATTAATTACTACTTTTTTTGACGTCAAATAATACAATATATAAATATTTTATGTATGTCTATATATATATATATACATCCATATTAGTAAAAGTTGATATGCATAGATGATAACAGTGGTTATATTGAAGGGCCAGAATGAAGGCAGTACGTAGATATAAAAGCAAGGAAGCTAATTAATGCAGACAGAGAAAAAGCATGAAAGGGCCTCTCAAATCTTATCCAGCCACAAGTTACGTCGTCTTCTCAATCGGTTTGAAAACATTATCTCTTCAATTTCAGATATATATATATATATATTTATCCTTGTAATTACAAATCCTACTTATAAATCATAAGTTTATGATCAGAGTAAACGACACTCCCCGACAGCTCCTTTTACACACCAAGGCAACTTCAGTTTCCTTCGCTCTGTAATTTTCTTAAATTAATTTAAATCTCTATCCATTAAAAAAGAGTTGTGTGTGGAATTAAAAAATAATTTATTTCAGATAATTATTAAAATAAAATTAAACAAGATCATTAAAAATTAGTGGCATCCTATAATTATTTTAGTACATGTATAATATATTTCATAATGAAAGTCCTAATCATTTAATTTAAGTAACAATTTATTCTTGCAGGTAATTTACCAAATCTATGCCTTTTGTTTTCTTTCTATTTATGGTTGTATACAGAAGCAATGTGGAGGTTGATAATTGTTTTATTGTGGGTCGACAACTTCTACCTTTATTATTGTACTTGATTTAAACGTACATTCTAGATGCATTTTTAGATTTATGTAATACAACAAAATAAAATAACACAATTACATAATAATTAATAAATTTCATATATATTTTAAATAATCTTAATGAAGAGTCTAATTTTTTAAAAATACAACCTAAATGTTAATTTTAAAAAACTAGGAAGTTTTATCTCCAATATATAAATTTTAACATCTATTTAAGGTGGATTGTATTAGTTATATTAAGATAAGAGTATATTAGATGTAAAATAATGCAAATCAAAGGTATAATTAATAGAAACTAAATGGTGATTCTTGGTCTCCCTAAGCATCAATCATAATATCAGTATTATTACACATATTGCAAACATGTTATACAAACCAAACATAGCATTATATATAATTTCACTACTGCTTAGAGGACTTAAGATTTTATAGTACATTAATTTTGTCCATATTACTTAAGAGTTGAAAATAGATTATTATTATTAACAAAAAAGAGAGAGAAATTCAAAAAAAAAAAAGAGAAAAATCAAAATACAAAATACAAAAAAGAGAGAAAAATCAAATAAAAGAAACCCACTTGCAATTAGTCCCACACTTATTTCTTTTATATTTCCCAAGCCCATCTAAATTTTAAACTACCCTACTTCACACCATTCAATTTTAGAATCCCCAACTCTTCAAGCATTTTAATTAAAATCTAAACAAAACCACAAAACCCAATTTCTAGTTTTCTTAAATCCAGCTCTCCATTTAAATTCGATCAAATTGGAGAGCCCTGTCTTTAATGCCAAAATGATGTCGTTTTGATTAAAATTAAAAAAAAAACAAAAAAAATATAACAATTTCGAAAATATTCAAAGAAAATAAATGATAATTAAAGTACGAAAAAGAATAAATGTTTAAGGTGTACTTTCTTTACACAATAACTTAAAGTACTAAACAGTATTACGGAATTCACCATTTTAAAAGAAATATAAGAAATAAGAAAACGAACGAAAAATAAAGAAAATTAGTATCTACTCTCAATCCTCTTGTGGGTCAAACTCTAAATCCTGGTACTCTTAATCTAAAATAATTAAATAAGTGATGAATTACAAGTCCAACAAGAATATCACACTATATCACCGATACAGAAAAGAAGATTGGTAGAAAAAAATAAGAAAATAACTAATTGAGCACTGAGTTAAGCAAATTCATTTATCAATAATAAAACCATTTATCGTCCGCTTACCGTAGTGAGATTTACATAAAACAACCTATAGAAAATAATAACATTATATATATCATGATTCCGCATATACTTGGCAACATAGCACATAATATACTTTCATATTCAAATAATAATTTTCCTTTTTCTCACCAGCATGCTGATATCTATGGGGGTTCATAGGGATGTCCTCGCTACGCGTGAACTTTTTCCTTTAACGTTCTCAATTACGGACCGTTCTCATACCTCGTCCGGTATAAGCCACAAATTATCAAACCTCAATAGCTCGTCCGGTATGAGGGTGAAGCGGGTTGTCCCCATACCCCGTCCGGTATGAGTGCCAAGTTACCAAGTCTTCATACCCTGTTCGATATGAGACACGTTCACGGTAGGGTTCTCTATATACCCGATCCGTCCACCATCTCCTAGGATGTTCAGTTGTCGTTTCATCTAGTCACTTAATCACACAAGTTTTCCGTTTACCTTTAACATCCATTTTTTCAATTCAACCGTAAACACGTAAAACAATAATATATGCATTCAAAACTATAAAATAAATTAATAAGGCACTATCATGTATTTAATCTGTAAAAACAATTAATAAAAAGCAATAGAGAATTGTTTCCGGTTCTGCCTCCATTAGCAATCCGTAATTAATCATGAACATTTTTTAAATTATATAAAATATCGTATTTATTGATAATTAGACTTCAATTGTATAACAGAGAGTAGGGTGAGAGATTCTTACTCAATTTGGTGCTCGAAAAGTTAAGTTATTCACTACGCCTACATGCAGTTTTCGAGTTCCCTGAATTTTCCTTCGGGAATCAAAACGCACTATAAGTACCTACAAATGTCTCAAACAAATCCAAAATCAGTCTTAAGGCCCATTTTGGCCAATTTCAGAATTTCGGCACGGTGGCTCCGCCATGTTCTGGCGACAGTGCCGCCGTCCGCAATGGCAGTCCGCCTCGGGTAAGCTGTTTTCGGTCTTTTTAGCCGAATTCGGCCGATTTCGTATCAATTCTTGTGAGAAAACATGTTAAAGGATCTCGATTGGCCGAAAAATACAAAAAATCGAAACTCACCAGCAGCGAGGCTCTCTGGTGCGGCGGCTCCTCTGGCTCACATTGTGGTTGAGTGTTTTGTTCCAGTCACCTGTAGAGAAGGAAACGGTGATTACAACGGTGGAAAAATCACACCGAACGGGAATCGAAAAGGACCTCATCAGAGGCGTTTTGTGGAATTCCCCGCGGCGGTGCCACCAGTCTTTGCTCACGTTTTTTGACCAATCAGCCAATCCTTTTGCTCTGATTTTGCTATGGGTGTGTTTAAAATTGAATTCCGAGCAAAATGAAATTTTTTTACCTTTTTTGGCGGTCGAAAGGAGCTCCGGTGCGGCGGCAGTCTCCTTCTCGGCGGTCGGGTCTTCTTCTCCCGCGAGGGGTCTGGCGGCTAGGGTTAGGGTTTGGTGTAGATGGTAGTTATTTATATCCATCTACTTTTGATCTGAACTGTCCATCGCGTTTGATCTGTACCGTCCGATCGCGATTAAATAGGGAGTGAATCTAGACCGTTCATCGCGATCCAATCTATATCGTCTATCGCGATCTAATCTGGACCGTCCGATCGTATTTGGAGAGGGAATGCATCTGGACCGTCCGTGTGCGCGAGAACGGATCTGGACCGTTCGATCACTGACACGCGGATCAAACGCGTGGTACTGCGTCAGCGTCCGCTGCCACGCGACACGTCCTAATTCATCGGGCCTGCAACTGAGCATCTGACGTGGCGAAACTTCTCTAAATTGCATTTTGACTCATAAATTCTAATTTTTCTTTCAAAAATACATTCAAAACCTAAATTTTCACCACTTTTCTCCAAAATTATTTTCAATTTAATTCTCCATCAATTTTATTTCATTTTTACTGTAAATTAAAATTAAAAAATTAAAAATTATATTTATAATAAAATTTTAAATTATAAAAAATTAATTTAGGGTGTTACAGAAAAAGTATAAGAGAAGAGGATGGATTGACGCCAAATAATCAATCATGTCCTTATTCCTAATGTCTTTTAAAAAAAATTAATTAATAGATTTAATTATGAATGAGTGACATTTTCATACACATGCATTATTGATCAAATTTTTAATTAATTTTGCATACAAATTATTCTATTATTTAGCATATATCACGTGTAAAATCCTTACATATTCTTATCAGATTTCATTCGTGACTTAAATATTTGAATATTAGAACAATTAAGTTTGTTAGCATATGGTCTCACTTTTAATAAGATTAGTAACAACTTAAAAAAAATATTTCAAAATTTAAAATTTATTTTTATAGAATCTTTTTTTAACTTACATTGTCCTCATTGTGACAATATTGGCACTTTGTTCTTATGATTTCTATCACATTTTTAATAATTATAAAGAACTTTTATAATACATTAATAAAGTAAATCATATATATAATATAATTTTCGAGCATATCATAACAACAATAAATGTTTTATTATTAATTGCTTAAGTTTAATAACCTAACTAACATTATTACATGATCATGTCTTATTAAATTATTACACCACTAGTTTAAGGACATATATGAGTATTAACTATTTCATAAAAATATTAATTAATCAATCAAATACATATAATTTTGTAAGAATAATTAGATTTCTCCATCCCAAAACTCATCAACAGTCGTGTAAGGCCCTTCGCTATGAATAAATTCTAGGGCAGGAAATGCTTTTTGCTGTGGAATTTGATTTATCTGATGTAATTCTTCTGAAGTCAACTGCCAGTCAAATATATCAAGATTTTCTTTCATTCTTTCTTTGTTGAAACTCTTTACAATCACAACAACTCCTTGTTCATAAGCCCACCTCAAACATATCTGCGTTATATAAGAAAAAAAAACACTATATTACTCAAGATATGAGATTAACAAAATAAAACAAAACATATAATATCGATATCATCTAACTTGTAGATATTACAAATTAAATGAAGTATTGTGATTAATTATACAGTTGCTTAAACTATATATATATATATATATATATATATATATATATATATAGAATCATGACTGACCTTAAACTAATAAAAACTAAATTTTCTTTTTTTTCTTTTTATTTTTGTAAAAATTAGTTATAAATGTAGATTAAAAAAAACACTTTGAGTGTTATAAGTAAATAAACTAGTAAAATTTTTATTTTTATGGGTAAATCTTGTTTATAACTAAATTGAGAGAATACAAAAAAGAATTGTATAAGAAGCTAAACTAATAGGTAAATATGATCTTAAACATTGAGGAGTGTTCTCTTTTAATATATTCTACTCTATAATTTAGAATGAAAACTAAAAATTTGAATTCTATAAAAATCAATAAAAGAAAATATATTTAAATTTTATCTTTCTATAACACTAATCACACCATAAGTAAAAGAATCAATAGACAGCAATAACAACATAAAAAAAGCCTCTATATTATTCACTATAAGAAAATAACACTAAGAAATATGGAAAGAAGCAATTATGTTGAGGTTTATCAGTAGATTATCAACAAATTACTATGAACAATGAAATCATTGATGGGTTATTAATCAATTTCCATTCTTTAAAAAAAAAAAAAAAGTTACCTGGGCAATACTTTTTCCTTTAGCACAAGCAATATCCTTGATCACATTGCATTCCATAACACGATTTGTACCCCAAAGAGCTCCGTTGGCACCCAGAGGGGAGTAAGCTGCAACAATTATACCTTTTTCATCGCAGAAGTTTCTTAGCTTTTTTTGCTGCCAAACTGGGTTCATTTCCACCTTTCAAAACAAGTCCAATGATATCCGTAGCTTAATACATAAAATTATTTCTCTTATCAAACTGAAACTAAAATTACTTAAAAAAGGCAACATATATATACTTGATTGACAGCAGGAGGGATTTTTGCTGTGGATAATATTATTTCAAGCTTCTTACACGAGAAGTTGCTGACTCCTATTGCTTTCGTTAAACCCAGCTCCACACACTCCTCCATAGCTTCCCACACTGACTTGAAATCCATAGCAATTATATCCTCCTTCGCAAATGGAAAAGTGAACTCATCCGGTTTCATGCTGACTGGTAAATGAATAAGATACAGATCCAGGTATTCCAGTTTCAAGTTTCTAAACATACAAATCGAACAAAGAATGAA